AATTAAATAATTGAAATAGAGATTTCGGACCGAACCCTCCTGAATTAAAACCTTACACGTCTAGGGCGAAGGCAACTTCGAATTTGGCTAGGTGTTTCTAGATCTTGTGAATGCGGAATTTTGTATAAAAAGGTTGTTTAGAAAAAAGAGAGAGAGAGAATAAGCTTTAGCTTCGAGAGAGAATAAGCTTTAGCTTCGAGAGAGAATAAGCTTTAGCTTTGAGAGAGAAGAGAATTAGAGAGCATAAGAATTGATGATAATCGGTGATGAAAAACGGAGATTTTAGAAGGCTATTTATAGAGAAAATCAGCTAAAAAGATAGAAATACAAATCAGAGTTTCGATGAGGAAAAAACAAGTTAGCGCCAGGCGCTGACTATTAGCGCCAGACGTTAACGCTAGCGTCAGGCACCAGGCTTAGGGCCAGGCGCTAATATCTGGCGTTAGGCGCTAATTAATTCTTTCACGCGATTTCTAAATTCAGATAAAATTTAACCGTACAGAAGGACAAAATCGTATTTTCCTTAAAAACACTCTTTTATTCTGATTAAAACTCCAAAAAGTCAACAAAAGTCAATTTATCAATGCTAATTGAATTAGGAATGAAAAGAACTTTGTAGAAGAATCTAAAAGACTAAAATCATTCCTAATTGCATTAGAAATGATAAATCCATATTAGGCCCTCCTCTAGATCATTGGGCCGCATATAAGGCTTAAACCGGGCCCAGTTTAGTAATTTGGCTATAACTTCCTCATTATTCATCGGAATTGGGCTTATAATATACGTTGGAAAACTCTTTTCAAGCCCCATCCAACTACACCATTATTGAACCCTTATTATAGACCAAACAAACTGGATTGGTTGTTTTCTTAAAATGGGTTTTCAAAAACAGAGAGAAAAGAAAAGAAATTAAAACTATCCGCAACACTAGACTTTCCACACTTTCACTTCTTTCGATTATGATTCGACACAAAAGGTACTCATCACCGGGTTTGATTTTAGGGAGACACAAATGGGTGTCTACACTAGCTAATTAAGGATTTATGGCTCTTTTAAATAAAAAGGAAAATATAATTTTTGCTTAATTAAAATATCTGAAATATATATATAAATAATCCAGTTTTTAAAATAAAATAAATGGATGATAAATCTTATCCAAAATTCAATAATAATTGATTTTTTAAATACTTTTGGCACCAAAGTTTAAATATAATTTTGGATCCAAATTCAAATAGTAAAATAAATTACTAAAATACCCTTTTAAGAGAATACTAATTAATTAATTAATTAAAAAATACATTTTAAAAATACGAGGTATTACATCCAGACCCTTGACTATTGGTGAACAAGCTGCCACTAGAGGAGAAATATGTGCCCTTATTAACACATTAGAGGATATAAGGCTTGAACTTGAAACTCTCCGCAAGAAAAGAGAGGAGGTCGAAAATAAACGTGTCCTTGAAAAAGAAAATCATGCTTCTTCTTCAAACTCTGTTGAGAGGAAACCATTCACCTTCAACGTAGTTACACCACCAATAAGGAGGAATGAAAAATTTAATACACTTATTAGTACCACTTATGAAAGTATGTTGTATATGCTTTTCGAGAAGGGGAAGATCAAACCTCTCGAGCCAAGACCATTTGAGTCCCTCAAAAGGACGGCTATATATTATTGTAAATATCATCAATCTGGAGGACACACAATAGAAAATTGCTTCAATAAGTTTAAGGATCTTATATATTCAAGGATTCATAGATATAGTGGAATAAAGCTTACCCAAAAAATAAAGGATGTCTTGGACAAAGATGTCTGTATTAATGGGATTTGGGATAGTGATGACGAGGACGTCTATCACAAAGATATGGAAGATCCACCATTAGATACGCTTTACCTAGTTGATGAAATTTAGGATGAGGAAGAAAACTCCCCAATCACCGTCCTTACAAGGTCTCAAAGGGTGCAACCCCCAGTCACAAATGTACTTATCCCTACTACTCAACAACTTTCGACGTCCCAATGATATTGTCAAACAACTCAAGAAAACTAAAGTTGAGATGAATGTGTGGAAGCTTCTAGCTTCGTCCCATGAACACGGAGTCGCAGTAATGGATGCTCTAGAAAAGGTAGGGATAGATTTTGAGACTACTCCAAAGGGTTTGGCCAACTTCCTTATAAGTGATCTCTCTACTCCCATCAATTTAATTACCTTTTCTGATAAGGGTTTACCCCCGGAAGGTGATAAACACAACAAAGCCTTGAACCTCATGGTAGTTTGTAAAAGAACGAATGTGTCAATGACACTTGTGGACAGTGATTCATCAATTAATGTATGCCCACTTCGAACTGCAAAAATGTTGGGAATAAAATATGAAGACTTGTCTCCATCCATACAAGGTATTAGGGCCTATGACAATAGTCGTTGCCAAGCCCTTGAAACCATCACCATGAACATTACCGCATTAGTCTTTGAACATATCACTGCTTTTCAAGTAGTAGATATTAAGGCTTCATTCAAATTATTTTTAGGACGACTTTGGATTAATGATCAAAAGGACATCCCTTCATCTCTCCATCAACAAGTCGAGGCTATAGTTGGAGGAATTCCTATCACAATCGGTGCTTCTCCTATGAGAATCAAAGTGGTTGATAAACCAATCATTAATGTGGAGCACGATAAGAATGATGAAGATTTATAGGGCTTTATTGCCAAAGAGGTATCTTTAATCAAGGAAGATGAAAATACCCGTCTTGACTACAACCCCCATTCAAATCTTGTAGTTAACGCTATCCTTAAAAGACAAGGGCATTTTCCTGGAATGACTCTAGGAAAGAAGAAAAAGATAGCTAAACAAATGGGACTACCTGGTCTATCTGAATTAGATACTTTTGGACTTAATTTTGAACCAACTCTAGAAGATCTTAATCAAGCCCAAGAAAGAACCAATGCACGAAGAAAAACTCGCACTTGGAAAAAAGCAACCCATTGATCACTACCCTCTCACTCTCAATGGACAATTCATAAAAGAGAGAGAAGACTATTGTAGACACCTGATTGGTCTCCCCCAAAACCAAAACTAATGATGAGTACTTTTCACATCATTAATTATCGAGTTAGGTGAAATGTTGAAGAGTCTCGTGAATTTTCCTTTTTCCAAAAATGTTCCAACCTAAAAATCATACATATCATTCATTTCGTGTCCTATTTTTGAAAAACGTCCAATCCAATTTAGCGTGGTTCGTAATCTAGGTCCAATAATTGTGTATTTGGATTAGGCTCGAAAATATCTTTTTAATGATATACTATGAGCCCAATTTCAAATTATAACGAAGAAGTTATGGCAAAAATACCAAACTAGGCCTAAATCAAGCTTTATATGTGGGCCCAATGATCATATGGAGGGTTCATAATTTTAATTATATTTCTAAAGTCATTAGGGTTTATCTTAATTTTCTAAAATTATCTAGAAGGTTATTTTAAGTTCTAGAGGAATTAGGATTAATTATTATTTATTTTGAAAAGATAATGATAAAAAATTCTACATCTGATAAAACAAGTATTTTTAAAGGATTTAAATCTGGTTTAATAAAGATAAGTATGGACTTTGGTTAACCCAATTTTATTGGAAGTCGGATTCCGTACGAAATCTTATCGTATAGAATCCATCGCGCTGCGATAGGCTTATCGCGATGTGATAAATCCATCACGTCGCGATAAAACAGGTTTTACTCGTTTTTTGATTATTTTATTTGGTAGTTTTCTCTATGAATAGGGGCGATTTTTCCCTTTTTTAAGGAAGCCACAATCATCCACGATCATTATCAATCTTCACTTTCTCACCTAAAGCTATTTTTTCTCTCTTGATTTTCTAAACCTTTTCATAAACACATACACCATACGTCCTTCACGAGACACCAATACACCTAACCAAGCTCGAAGTTGCCTTAGACCTCGACCTGAAAGGTTGATAGTACTAAGGGTTTGGTTCTAAATTCTATATTTCAATTAATTATTATTTTAGTTATTTGAATTAATACTTTTATTGAAGTTACTAACGTGTATATTGTTTTAATAGAAAGATGTACGAGGCTTCAAAGTGAGTAACTCAATTGCTCTATTTCTGTAAAATAATGCTTAGATTATTTCATTAATTTCTATTATCATGTTAGGATGCTTTTATACTTTCTTGTATCATATTTAGGGAATTAATTAATATTTCTAATATCACGTATATTCCTAGTACCACGTTAGGATAAAGCTTTGATTTTTATTGTGTAGTGACATGTTAGGATTTGTTATTAATCTTGTTAGTATCATGCCTAAGATCTTGCTAATAATATTATGCTTTGATGAGAATATTATTATGATGAATGGATGATGATGATTTGTGGTATCAATATTATGTTGCTTGGTATTATTATTGTTATTGCTTGAACAAGCCCCCTCTTGCAGGTTAAAAGGGAATTCGTATTTGAAAACACGATTAATAAGATACTCCCTCCGTCCCTAAATTACATTCCTCTTTCTCTCTATTATGTGAGGAATAAATGCTAGAAAGAGGAATGTAATTTAGAGATGGAGGGAGTAATTAATAATATGATTTAGGCTAATGTGATTTCAATTTAAGTGATCACCAGTAATAGATTTGTTTGTGCATTATTAACCAACAAGGATTAAATATGTTTAGGATTAATTTATTGATTGTATGTTTATCAAAAAGCGCACATGAATATGAGAAGAACAAAGTAGAGGCCTATTTAGGGCGTTCAATCTCTTTAGGTTGGATTCGTACTATCAATCCATCATCCCCAAATATCCAGTCATGGTTTAGGACCAATATGGACACTACTACAAAATGCATTCATTCTTGACGCTATGCTTTCGACGCTGTGAGTAGGGCGTTGGTGAAAATTTTGATTCCCGTGTTTTCGCGACGGTTTTTTAGCGTCCTCGAATATTATTGGCTTAGAAAAGCATCCAGAATAGAAGTACAAACCACGTGATAAGCACATGTAGCCTACAAACTTAAACCAAATTAGGGGAAAACACAAAACTTGTTCCTCTTTTACTCTCGAGTCTCCAATAACTAAACCCTAGCTTTTACTAAACTTCTCTCTCACCAATTCATTGCTTTCCAAAATCACAATCCTGCCAACAACTTTTATTGAAGGATGCTCTTCAATTTCATCATACCTAGTATTCTAATTGTTTTCAGGTATTCTCTCCTTTTCCTTTAAATTTAGATTTTTAGAGTTTTAATTTTTATGCTTTTTTCGTTTTTTTTTTTTCTAGTATAATTTTTTTAAATTTATCATAGAGGAAGAATAGATAAAGAGATATGTGATTTTGAGGTCACTTGAATACCAGATGTTTAAAAAAAAAATTCTACAATTGAATTTTTACACAGACCCAGATTTCGCTAAAGCTTATCCGCCCCTTTACTTTTAGGTAATTTCTCGCATCTTACTTGTTTATATTTTTATGTAAATATTTGAGGATGTAATTTTGGTTTAAGTAAGTTTGATTTGGTGATTTAGAATTTTATTGTTAATTGAGTTTTTAAAATTTAGACATAGATTACTTGGGGGGCAGGTTAGTTTTGTGCAACTTGAAGATGAAGATTAGCTACTAAAAAGCTATTACCAATATCGTATCATACTATCATTAACAAGTTAAAATGTTCTTAATTCTAGATTATTTAGTGCATGTGATAAAATCTGGGTCTGGGGTTTATGCGTATGTAATCCTTCTAGTATAGTTAGAAGATAAGCAACTTTTGACATTTTATCTTGGTTTTGATGGTATTATAAATACATACTAGTATATATAAAATTAATGGCTTTGTTAGATTCTATAGTATATTTAAGCTTAGTCATTCAAGATCACAATGATAAGTTGCTCTTTGTAAACAAATTATTGTGCAATTTATCTCCTTCATTATTAGCATTGTGCTTGGTATATATTGAATTGAGAATTTATTGAATTAGTGTCTTGTCACAGAGAGAAGGCAACCATAATTCATCCATAGTTATACTAGTGTCTTGTCATTTAGAGAATCTTAAAATACTTTATTTCTCAATCTCATGCATTCAAATAACAAAATAAAAATAATGCACTTTGGGTTGTTTTTTTGTCCTTAAAAATATAATGTATGCCTTCAGATCTTCATGGATTAATTATGATTTTACTCATTTCAGTACTTCTTCAAAAAATAAAATTATGATTTCAGTTCATTAAGCTTCAACTTTCCTTCCAATTAAACCCTTACATGATATGGTCCAAAAGTGAAGTACCTCTGTCAGTGACCAGCCTAATGAAAAGAGTAGTTTTGTGCTTGTGTCCATTAGTCATCATATTTACTTCCTGATTTTCTTGGTATATTTAACTCCATTTTATATGTTTTACCATAAGAGAGTGACGGTTATGTAGACTCGTCATAGCTAATATTTATATGACCCAGTTGCTTCTTTACATGGAAACACATATAGACCGATTCAAATTGTTGGTTTTGATTAGCCTAAAATTGTTTTATTTAATTTCCCATGTAGTGTGAAAAGTTTACAAATCACAACCGCTGATTTAGAGTTGTTCAAAGTTGTTGCTTTTATATAGAGACTTGTTATTTATTAGTTTCTTGGTCATGAATCCTTGTTATGAGTTGGTTTCTCTTACTATGGATTTCTATATGACCAGTTTATCCCATTTCAGAAATATATATAAATTAGTAAACTTGCAATTTGAATCCATGAGGTTGCTTCTCTATGTTGCCTTTTCTATAGTCCTCTTCTCATTTATGAAATCCCTTTATGCATGATGTTGGTTATGACCCCCTTTCTACCACCCTTACCCCATTTACTTTTGAATCAAACTCCGGTACTAGTCAATATTGTTCCTGGCAGCGAGCATAGTACCAGGATGGTATTAGTGCAATTTTTCAAGCAAAAGCTTCTCCAGAATTTCTAAACTGTGCACAAGAATTATTGTGAATGACATACCCTATTTTTTTGTCAGTGCTTTATGCTAGTGTTTCAAGAATAAAAGGTTAAAGTTGATGGTATTAGTGAAATCCTTCAGGCAAAAGCTTGTCTTGCTGACATAGCAGCCACGTTGGCAGCCTCATGGCTGGTGGCTTGGCAACAGGTTGGGTGTTGCAGGTACGTATGTGTTGTGGCTATTGTTATTAATTGTTAAACTGTTTTTTTTTCTTGTTTGATGTTGTTGCTGTTGTTGTTTTATGTTGCTGCTTCATACATTGAGGTGCTGTTGCAAACTTGCTACTGCCTTTCTTTGTTAATTGTGTTGTTGCCCCGGCTATATTCATGGTTGTGTTTGTGTCCTATCTTGTGTGTGTTCGTGGTTGTGATTGTGTCCTATCTTGTGTTACTAGACTTGAACCCTTTTTAAGAATTTATAACTTACCTATACATCTCTAGGATTCTACTTCGACAAAGCTAAGCTCACCTATGGCCCAACCTCACTTGCTTGTAGGACCTTTATTAGTCCCATCTTGTTATATACTTTGACTTAAATCAATAAAAGAAACACTATATGTGTTCTAATAACTTACTATAGGACTCGAGTTTAATAAATCAAACCAGTCAGCGGTAAGCAAGGAAGGAACTTGGATTGCTCGAAAAGTATTTTGAGTCTGTTAAAGAAGTAATTGGATGCAAAGGCATGTTTGTTATAATATAGTTGCGACTTGTTTGTGACTTTTCATATTTAATAAGATTTCAGAAGGACCTGTGATCAAAATATGTATTTAGTAAAAGCTTGTTTGTTATAATTGTGAGTTTTCAGTATATTTGTATCTTGCACGATGTTACGAATTTTTTCAGCAGCAGTATTCAATCTTAATGTCTTCTCCAGTTCTCCCTCTTGCAGATGGAAGGTAAGAAGATTGTTTGTCATATTTTCTTGACAAAAATACACTAGGAAAGTCAAATGACTCCATTAGCATGAATCAAATTAAAGGCATGGAAATACAAGAAATCGAGAAAAGCAGTAATATTGCTAGAAAGGTTGCATGCCTGCATCATTTCTTATGTACGATGAGAAAGAGAGTGGAAATCTATACCTGATGTAATTATCTGCAAATATTCTGCTGTAATTTTCTGCTAGTTTGATATTTGCCTTATGCTGATTTAACAATTTTTCTGTACTCTTACATGCAGGAGTACATTGTCGTCGATAATTATAGTTGTGTTTCTTTTGAGTTAGCTAGTCCAGTAAAAGGTTTAGATAACAACTTCTATTCGCAACCCCTGATGAATGATGCCAAGGTTAATGATGCCAAGGTTAATGATCTGATCATGGCTGACTAATCCTGGAAGCTTGTCACACCAATTTTAGTGATACATAAATTGTATTTGTACTTTTCTTTTATCATTTTAGCTTAGATAAAAACATGTCTGAATATAATGGTTTTTGGCACTGTATTGTGCATATACCTAGTTGTACTGTTCTTTGATTATGAATAAAATTGAATTTGAATAAATTTTTCTTTCAAATTTTTTGCAACTCTAATATTTGCTAGCTATATTAAGTTCCAATGATTGAATTAAATTTTAATTCTGCTGAAAAATATTCTCCACATTGGATACATTTATAAATAATATGGACTAGAAAAAGCGTCGCCTAATTTAAAAATATGGACAGAAAAAGCGCCAAAAAATAGAGGACAACTAATATATAAATTAAGGACACCAAAAAGTGTCGCAATTTTGTGATTATAGACAAGAAAAAAAGTCGCCAAACCTGAGAAAGTGCACGGACTGATACAAGTTTTGACGCTTTATATAAATATTTGGACAATAAAAAGCGTCGAGAATGGTGATGCGTTTTAGCGTCCAGTAAATTTCTCGACTCACTTTTTCGTCGCATTTTAGAAGCGTCGAGAAAAAAAATTTCAATGCTTTTTTTGTGTCGAAAATAAGTCTTAAAAGCGTCCAAAAACCACGGAATTTCTAGTAGTGGGATCGGAGTTGGCGATCTTTGTGATCGTGAATGGGGTGTAACCCTCACCTCGTGGACAATTTACAATTTAGCGACTCTTTTGCTTAACCTTCGTTCCCTTTGAACGCCACCATGCTTAAATGCATGATCACAGTGTGGCTCAAAGTTGTGGTTGAAATATTCCCTAATATTGTGACACATATGATACTAAGTAAATGAATTTTGGATAATTTTTTTAGATAAAAATATTGTATAGAGTTTTATTATCAATATACTTTTAATATTTCATACATACAAAATTAATCACAACTTTTAATAAATATTCTATAACTCGATTCTATTTCCATCATAAAATTCACTTTAAAAAGTTCTATATATGAAAACCCATTTATAATAGGAAAACTTATCATTAATAATACAACCTTTGGCATTTTTTTTTTTAAAAAGACAACATTTTGATTATTCATGAATATTACAACCTTTAAGAGGTGTCTATATTAAACAAGACAAAAAATTATAACCTACTAAACTAGTTTCCCACGACACGTGTCATCATGTAATTGATAAAAATATTAAAGTTTGATTTTCTTATCAGATTTTTTTATAAAAAAAAAAAAAAAAAAAAAAAAAAAAAGCAAACCCAGCTCCCTTGCCCCAACTCTTCCCCGGGGAACATCCCCTCCCCCACCACACACCACTCATCCAAGCCTCATAGGGGAACACCGCACCACAAGCCCACCTTACCCCGACGACGCGAGAGAACACCACCACAAAAACGGGTAGGATCGAAGCTTGTGGAGAGGTGGCATTGGGGTCTTAGGGATAATTAACAAAAGTAACACTACCCCAATCTAAAAAGGATGGGTATCCCTGATTAATTGGTATACTGCATAGCTGAATCGAGCGATTGCCTCACAACAAGCTAGCTGATTAAAATTTGGACATATCATTCTTAGTTAGAATTAGAGCAGATAATCAAACAACCTAAAATTCAAAAGGTCTATAATTTAAAAGTAATGTGTTCTAGTAAATGATAAATCTTTCAAGCAATGATGATTCATCCAAATTAATGATTGGGAAAAATGAAGCTAAAGCTAATACTATTTTGGGTTGCTGCCTGCTGGTGAGGCAAGGAGAGAAAGGTCGGTTCTACTGTTGAGGCGATATTGGTGGTGGTCGGAAAAAGGAAGGGGCAATTCTGCCGGGGGAGATAGGGATGGGCTTCCAGAGTGTTGTAGTGGTGTTAGTGGTGGGGATTGTTTAAGGGGTGGTGGAGTTAGCTGCCGGAATGGGTAGGGACAAAGAGAGAAGGTTAAAAAAAAAATTCAGCAAATTAGCTAGCGACACGTGTCACAGTAACCTAAAATAACATGTTATCAACAGGTTGCGTCTTGCTTAAAATTGACACCCCAAAGGTTATATTATTCAGGAATAATCGAAAGGTTATCTTGTTTAAAAACAACTACCCAAAGATTGAATTATTAATAGTAATTTTTCTTTATAGTATATATTTTTTAAAATAATAAAAAATTATTAAAAAAGATAATTTAAATTCAATAACAATAATTTAAAGTTAATCAGTGATATGACATTGTATGTCTAAATATCCTACATTACTCATCAAAAAGGGTTTATTTGACCATATTTAGCATTCAAGTAAAATGGTTTACACTAAAATTTTATCAAAGGGCATCATTCGGGCAAAAACTTGTATATATATATAAAGGGGAGTTTTTCCCGAGTAGAGAGCAACGTAGGATTAAATTTTTTCAGTGCACCACGTAGGATTATAAACATTAGTTATAGCCAATTAAATAAGAGATATATAATTTCTTATAGATTTAAATAACTCAATTGTCACGTAAGCAAAATTAACAAATGAGATTTTAAAATTTAAATTAATTAGATATAAAATATTATCTTTTGAGGTTAGAAATTTTATCTAAATATTGAATAAATGAGATAATATTCATAATTTATTTTATAATAAATATATTAAATGATATACTACCTAATAAACTAACAAATTCTATCACATAAATACAAATAATATTTGTTTTATAAAATACAAACAAATCGTGCATCGCACGAGCTTCATCTAGTCTTCATAGCTAAGGTATCCTTTCTCCATGCCCTTATCTTTGAAATTATGATCCACAATGGCCAGGCTAGGCCCGTAGGAGGTACAGGTTGAGCAGTGGCACTGACCCAAGTTTTGTTTGGGGCTAATCCTATATAAAGTAGTTGTTGCTTAAATAATATAAGAGTAGATAAGCTTTGGTTTAGTGTTTTGAGGAAATCCTTTACTTAATTTTTTTTTTGGAAAGGTAAAATACACGGATTATTATATAATCTCCCTATCACATGAAAGGATCATTAAAATCTAAAAGTCCACCTATCACGGGATCAGACTAATAGAATAGGATAAAAAAAATAATAATAAAGGACAACTAAAGAAAAAAGCAAACTAAAGCTTCCCAAGGAAGCTATACAAAAAATTCCATAGGAAGCTAAGTCGGTGGCGGTGGAGGCGGCGGAGTCGGTGGAACCATGACTTTTCGAATTCTACCAACTTGAACCCTTGATTTCCAACCAACCACAAATTGAAGTGGGTTAAAGCATAGAAAATGAAATCAAAGGAAAAACTCATAATATCAAAGGTCAAAGCTGACATGCATGATATAAAAAACAAGATCTGAAAAATCTTGTTAAATTTTCAACATTTTGGTATAACAAGCCCTTTAAAACTAATGAGAGATTAAGATGAAGGGGTTGTTTATAAGGAGGAGTTGACATCAGCATGCGGTAGAAGCGACGACATAAAGCAAGGTATATATACATGCTTTAAATCAAGAAAAAGAAGCCAAGAAAGAGATATCATAGGAGAAGAGGAGATAACACAACAGGGAGATCAGAGGAGAGGAGAATCAAAAAGTGAAAACAAACAAAGAAAAAAAACAAAGGAGGTGGTTTTAGAGAGAAGGGAGAGCCCTTGTCTCTAAAAAACACTAGAAATCCTATACTTATAATAGGTTGTGAGATGCACAACTTGTTATAAATGTTTTTTTCAATAATAGGAAAAATTAGAAAAAATAATCTCAACTTTCATCAATTTTGAAAGAATAATCCCAACTTTTGTTTATTTTGGAATAATCCGAACTTTGGGGGGTCTTCTTTTTCTTCAGCCCCAAATACCGGTTACCGGTTAAATGGGTTTTTTTGTTTTTCTTTTTTGTTAAAATGACACGTGACACAAATTGAGTGGTTAAAAAATAATAAAAAACAAACACAAAAAAACTCACAAAAAAAAATTAACACAGCCAAAACCCCTCCCAATTCTGACCACCAGAACAATCCCAACAACCACCCTTTCGCCACTAATTCCACCTCGTTGTTGATTCCCCCTCCCCCTTTGGCTAATGATTCCCCCTCCCCCTTTGTTGCTAATTCCCCCTCCCTTATTTTCTCGTTTTCTGGCGACACTCGAAACCCTCTCGAAAACCCTTGAAACCATTTCCTCCACTCGAAACCCCCTTAAAACCACCTCCCCCGCTCTCAAAAAACCACCAAAAACGCCTCCCCCACCATTGAAAACCCTAGTTGCAAGGGTTTCGGGGTCGTAGAAGGAGCGATCTAGGATTTTTGAAAGTGAAGAGGGGTTTCATTGGTGGTTTAGTGGGGGAATGGGAGGGGGTTTTGGGGAAGGGGGAAACCGGTGGTCCGGTGAGAGAGGGAGAGTTGCAGCGGCCCATCAAAGGCAGTGTATGGATGGTGGGGGAAGGGTCGGCGAAGGCGGCGAACGGATGGTCGTGGAAGGGGATTTTGCTGTTTTTTTATTTTTTTTTTTACCAATCAACACTTGGCACGTGTCATGTTACCTGATATAATAGGTCATTGACTTTGGTTGACCGGTTTGGGATTGAAGAAAAAAAAGGCCCCTAAAGTTCGGATTATTCTAGAATAATCGAAAGTTGAGATTATTCTACCAAAATTGATGAAAGTTGGGATTATTTTTTCTAATTTTCACTTAATAATATCTCATGAGCAGCCATACTCTCTCAATTCCTTTCACTAAATAATATCAATTTCTCTCTCTAAAAAATCTCTCAAATTGGAAAAAAGTTAATTCTCTTATGAATATCCGATCCTAATTCGGACACTATAAATATAAAAAGAGAATAATTTTTTTTTCATAATTTAATAGAGCCTTTTTGTGTAGCAGGCCATACCGTGGGACCTGCTACCAACTCAGCAAAAGTAACGGAGTCTGACACTCAAGAGTAATAACATGTAACCCCTAAATTCAGGTAACCCCTAATTTCAATTAACCCTTAATTTTAAGTAACCTTTTAATCTCAAGTAATCCATATTATAAGTTGTAAGGAGGGTGATCCCATCGTAATGGGGTCCTTCCTTAGTTGCCCATTGGCCTTTTAGAAGCCTAGAACTTTACACTTGTTAGAGTGTATTAGGATTTGAATTCCAAAATGTTTGGAAGACCTTGAAAATCATGCTTTTTTGTAAGAAACAAGTAGGAGTCGC